CGTCCTTGGGACAGGGGACCTTAGCGGCAGGGTTCATCCCTGAGGTCGTCCTTAGGGGCATGGGTCATCCCTGGGGTCGTCCGTAGGGGCAGGGGTCATACCTGGGTCGTCCGTATGGGCAGGGGATCATCCCTGGCGTCGTCCTTAGGGGCAGGGGTCATCCCTGGGGTCGTCCTTAGGGGGGGACAGGGGTCATCCAATGGGTCTTCCTCAAGACACGGATCGCAAAAGGGGGTCGTCCACAAAAGGGTCTTCCACAAGGAAAGGGGTGGAGGTCGTTCATTGGGGGTCGTCCACTGGGGGTCGTCCACGGGGGTCGTCCACGGGGGTCGTCCATGGGGGTCGTCCACGGGGGTCGTCCACAACGAGTGGGTCGTGTGGGGAACTGGCCTGTGAGATTCATATTTATTTTAATTTATATTAATTTATATAATAATCCATATTTTCCGTTAATTTATACTTTTCGATAACAAATTGTTCGATGTTCAAAGTGGACTATATGACTTAAAATTCTCACAGAGCGCTTCCTTTCACATTCTGGGCGGGTTTATAGTTTATATATAGTCATCAATATAAATTATTGGTTAGTAGACATTCACTACAGTATTGGACTATATAAATTAGTAATTAAATGGAGAGGTCTTATCTGTAGTGTTGATTTTGGTCTGGACAAATATGACACGAGTGAGCACAGACAAATAGGTGAAGGTTGGGGGTCGTACCAGGGAGGGTGGTGGAAGTGGGGGTCGTACCAGGGAGGGTGGTGGAAGTGGGGGTCGTACCAGGGAGGGTGGTGGAAGTGGGGGTCGTACCAGGGAGGGTGGGGGAAGTGGGAGTCGTACCAGGGAGGGTGGGGGAAGTGGGGGGTCGTACCTGGGAGGGGGGGAAGTGGGGGTCGTACCTGGGAGGGTGGGGGAAGTGGAGGGTCGTACCAGGGAGGGTGGTGAAGGTAGAGGTCGTACCAGGGAGGGTGGTGGAAGTGGGGGTCGTACCAGGGAGGGTGGTGAAGGTGGAGGTCGTACCAGGGAGGGTAGTGGAAGTGGGGGTCGTACCAGGGAGGGTGGTGAAGGAGGGGTCGTGGTGGACACTGCCCAACCAGCACCGCCTCACACCGGCTGTGAGTGAGGGGCTCTTCACCCACTCTTGCCTTCTCTTCCTCACAACAATTTCTCTGTATTCGAGTTTTTTTCGGTCCCGCCACTGACCTCATTTTCTCTCCAATTGTTCTACCTCCTCCTGTGTTTTTTCTCTCACCTCTCCACTCACGCTTCCCTCACCTCTCACGCTTCCCTCATCTCTCCTAGACTACACTCTCACTAACAAGAAAAACAGAACACGCTGGACCTCATTTTCACCAATAATGTTGAATTGATCAGGAACATAACGATTACATATGCCTTTTACTCAGATCACAACTTAATTGAAGTTCTAACAAGCTTGGGGAATAGACCTGCTAAACCAGTCCCGAATCCCAGTGGAGGAGAATTCAACAAATTCAATTTCGATAATAGATAAACTGGGAGCAAATAAACAAAGACCTCGCAGAAATAAGCTGGGAAGAACAGCTAGAAAATGCAAACCTGAACCAGTGCCTGGAAAAAATAAGCTCAGTAGCTCTAGAAATATGTTCAAACCGCATACCCCTAAGAAAAAACAGGAGGAGATGCAGATTGGAACGGGAACGTCGTTCCTCTATAGGCGAAGAAAATGAATCGCGGAACACCTTGAGAGTCGCACCCTATCTCAAGAACGGCGAAGATGGTTAGGTAAAGAACTAGAAACAATTGAACTCAAGCTACAAGAATCATACAAAATTCAAGAGAGACAAAGAGAGCAAAAGGCCATCATTGAAATAGAGAAAAATCTGAAAGACTTTTTCTCCTATGCAAAATCAAGATAAAAACCCCACATCTAGTATCGAACCCCGCGACAGAGAGCTGGAACTGTCACAGATGACAACAAAGAAATGAGCGTAACACTGAGGCATCAGCATTTCCCATCCCAAATCCTTATCCTGACCCCCTTCCCAGTGCTATGTAGTGGTAATGGCTTGACGCTTTCCCCCTGTTAGTTCCCTTCCTTTCTTCCAAACACAATTGTCACTACCCAAGCACAGTAAGCTAATGCTTCTATAACTCTGGCATGTGTCAAGGTCGACGATATTTGGGCAAGATTAGCTGTGTTTTCCAGCCGTCAAGGACACATTGGCTGCGGGGTAATCCTGGCAATAGTCAATAATGTGTGCCTAAACCTCTTCAACACGTGCAACGTTCCCACACAGCTTCACGCACCTCACCATCTTCTATACACACAGCTTCACGCACCTCACCATCTTCTATACACACAGCTTCACGCACCTCACCATCTTCTATACACACTGCTTCACGCACCTCACCATCTTCTATACACACAGCTTCACGCACCTCACCATCTTCTATACACACAGCTTCACGCACCTCACCATCTTCTATACACACAGCTTCACGCACCTCACCATCTTCTGAGATAAAGACAGTTTATTTATCACCGGGCCACACGCACTAGGGGAGACATGATCATTACGCGGCGTCCCTATAAGACAGCAGAGTAAGGGGAGACATGATCACCACCTACAAAATTCTCAACGGAATTGACGGGGTGGACAGACAAACTATTTTGCATGGGTGGAACACGAACAAGGGGACACAGGGGGAGACTGAGTACCCACATGAGCCACAGAGACATTAGAAGGAACTTTTTCAGTGTCAGAGTAGTTAACAGGTGGAATGCATTAGGCAGTGATGTGGTGGAGGCTGACTCCATACACAGTTTCAAGTGTAGATATGATAGAGCCCAATAGGCTCAGGAACCTGTACACCAGTTGATTGACAGTTGAGAGGCGGGACCAAAGAGCCAGAGCTCAACCCCCGCAAGCACAACCAGTTGAGTACACACACTTGCACACACTCACAATATAACGCCTCACACCTTCATGCTCACGGCCCAATAGGCAAAGTTTCAAGTAAATTTTACATTGTGTGTTTTTAATGGAGGAAGTTATCAGCTGGAGAGGGACGGCGGCGGCGGCGGGGTGTCTGGTGCGATAGTGAGCAACTCTCCGCGTAGTTCTTGCCCCATGCAGCCGGTCCCGGTCCTGGCCGCCGGTCCTGGCCGCCGGTTCTGGCCGCCTCCTCTCATAATATTCTCCTGGAGGAGTATACCGGAGGAGCAGACGAGGCCGCCATTCGTACCCATTGTATCTTAAAAAAAATTATCATAAAAACTGGTTTAATTTTGCTCTATAAATTTAGGACTTTATGTGTTAATTAAAATGTTGAAATATTGTTCGTTAATTCGAGATTCTTGAGGCGTTTATTGTAAGAATGTTAACATAATGTTAGAAACTATTAAGCGAGGGAATTGCGCTTATGTTCAATGATTATTATTAGTTAAAACAACATCACTCACTCTAAACGATAATATGTGCACTCTAAACGATAATATTTACACTCTAAACGATAATATTTACACTAAACGATAATATGTGCACTCTAAACGATAATATTTTCACTCTAAACGATAATATGTGCACTCTAAACGATAATATTTTCACTCTAAACGATAATATGTGCACTCTAAGCGATAATATTTACATTCTAAACGATAATATTTACACATTAAACGATAATATTTTCACTCTAAACGATAATATTTACACTCTAAACGATAATATTTTCACTCTAAACGATAATATTTGCACTCTAAACGATAATATTTTCACTCTAAACGATAATATTTACACTCTAAACGATAATATTTACACTCTAAACGATAATATTTACATTACAATACACTCTATTACCGTTTTCTATTCAAAGTCTCTTATGGAGAAGAGCACGAATATTACTATATTTGTAGCCAGTTGTATAATACACCATGTTGTATACTACAACGCATGCTGTATAATACAACGTGTGTATATACCCATCCTGACCATGAGTAATAATGGTAATACATCTATTATATCACAGAAAAAAATTATAACCAAAATTATATATAAATAACCTAACTAAGTTAACTAAAACCAGCAGTTATAAAGATCGGTTTAAACCATTACAAATATCCAAAACAACACAATTCAAGACAGCGAGCAAAATTATTACTTATTATAACTTCATAACATTTGCTGTGATGAGGTAAAGGTTAGGGTGCCCAGTGGAGCGCTGCAGACTCGAACTGCTGCACATTTTAATGAGTAAATATCGCGATATATTTGGTAACTGTTGGTGATAACAATATTGTTCAGAAGTGAGGGAGATCTTGTTAGGGACAAGATGCAAGGGGGAAGGGTGAGGGGAGGGGGCAGCGACATGGGGGGGGGGTGGATGGGAAAGTAGAGATGGGATGGGAAACTTGAGGGGGGATACAGAACAGTTAATAGGGTACAGTGTGTGGAACAGTTCATGAACATCACAATAAATAGACGAACTATATAGAAATTATACCAAACATTATATATTTTATGGATTACCTTTGCTATAACTGATAGCAGAGTGGATATATGCCGTACACCATATACGTTATACACTATAATGACCTCTTGTTGAAGTGACAGAGAGCAAGAGTGCAAGCCAAGCGTCGCTCTTGACACTAGAGCACCGTCGAGCGTCGCTCTTTGGCACTAGAGCACCGCAGAGCGTCGCTCTTTGGCACTAGAGCACCGCAGAGCGTCGCTCTTTGGCACTAGAGCACCGTAGAGCGTCGCTCTTGACACTAGAGCACCGTAGAGGGTCGCTCTTGACACTAGAGCACCGTAGAGGGTCGCTCTTGACACTAGAGCACCGTAGAGGGTCGCTCTTGACACTAGAGCACCGTAGAGGGTCGCTCTTGACACTAGAGCACCGTAGAGGGTCGCTCTTGACACTAGAGCACCGTAGAGCGTCGCTCTTGACACTAGAGCACCGTAGAGCGTCGCTCTTGACACTAGAGCACCGTAGAGGGTCGCTCTTGACACTAGAGCACCGTAGAGGGTCGCTCTTGACACTAGAGCACCGTAGAGGGTCGCTCTTGACACTAGAGCACCGTAGAGCGTCGCTCTTGACACTAGAGCACCGTAGAGCGTCGCTCTTGACACTAGAGCACCGTAGCGCTCTTTTATACACCAATTATCATATATTTTCTTTAATACTAAGGCCTCGAGGTCTGAATTGTGGGGTGTATTTGCATGTAAGGGTTGTTAAGGGTTGTTAAGGGTTGTTAAGGGTTGTTAAAGGTTATTAAGGGTTGTTAAGGGTTATTAAAGGTTGTTAAGGGTTATTAAGGGTTGTTAAGGGTTATTAAGGGTTGTTAAGGGTTGTTAAGGGATATTAAGAGTTTTAAGGGTTGTTAAGGGGGGGGGGGATTACTTGATGTAACAAACTATTTCTGCAGTTTAATTTGTGGTGGTCAGTGGTGCCCTGATTGACTTACCATACTTCACTACTCACCATGCTCTTCTATACACCATACAGTGTGTGGTGTAGAGGAGGGTGCTGACTCACCATACAGTGTGTGTGGTGTAGAGGAGGGTGCTGACTCACCATACAGTGTGTGTGGTGTAGAGGAGGGTGCTGACTCACCATACAGTGTGTGGTGTAGAGGAGGGTGCTGACTCACCATACAGTGTGTGGTGTAGAGGAGTGTGCTGACTCACCATACAGTGTGTGTGGTATAGAGGAGTGTGCTGACTCACCATACAGTGTGTGGTGTAGAGGAGGGTGCTGACTCACCATACAGTGTGTGGTATAGAGGAGTGTGCTGACTCACCATACAGTGTGTGGTGTAGAGGAGGGTGCTGACTCACCATACAGTGTGTGTGGTGTAGAGGAGGATGCTGACTCACCATACAGTGTGTGTAGTGTAGAGGAGTGTGCTGACTCACCATACAGTGTGTGGTGTAGAGGAGGGTGCTGACTCACCATACAGTGTGTGGTGTAGAGGAGGGTGCTGACTCACCATACAGTGTGTGTGGTGTAGAGGAGGGTGCTGACTCACCATACAGTGTGTGGTGTAGAGGAGTGTGCTGACTCACCATACAGTGTGTGGTGTAGAGGAGTGTGCTGACTCACCATACAGTGTGTGTGGTGTAGAGGAGGGTGCTGACTCACCATACAGTGTGTGTAGTGTAGAGGAGGGTGCTGACTCACCATACAGTGTGTGGTGTAGAGGAGTGTGCTGACTCACCATACAAGTCACTGCACATCTCATACTCCTGCAACTTTTCTCATCAACATCATGAAATTTCAATTGGTAATTTTTTTTTTTAAGTTATACAGATTTATATAGTATCTTGAGGTGTTCCCGGCGGCCCCCGGGTCTCTCATCCACCCTCTTCACACTCCCAGTGTGCCCCTCTCTCATGCCATTCTTCCCTACCCATCACCACCTTCCCTACCCTTCACCACCTTCCCTGCCCTTCACCACCTTCCCTACCCTTCACCACCTTAGCTACCCTTCACCACCTTCCCTACCCTTCACCACCTTCCCTACCCATCACCACCTTCCCTACCCTTCACCACCCTCCCTACCCTTCACCACCTTCCCTACCCATCACCACCTTCCCTACCCTTCACCACCTTCCCTACCCATCACCACCTTCCCTACCCTTCACCACCCTCCCTACCCTTCACCACCTTCCCTACCCATCACCACCTTCCCTACCCTTCACCACCCTCCCTACCCTTCACCACCTTCCCTACCCATCACCACCTTCCCTACCCTTCACCACCTTCCCTACCCTTCACTACCTTCCCTACCCTTCACCACCTTCCCTACCCATCACCACCTTCCCTACCCTTCACCACCTTCCCTACCCTTCACTACCTTCCCTACCCTTCACCACCTTCCCTACCCATCACCACCTTCCCTACCCTTCACCACCTTCCCTATCCTTCACCACCTTCCCTACCCTTCACCACCTTCCCTACCCTTCACCACCTTCCCTAACCTTCACCACCTTCCCTAACCTTCACCACCTTCCCTATCCTTCACCACCTTCCCTACCCTTCACCACCTTCCCTACCCTTCACCACCTTCCCTACCCTTCACCACCTTCCCTACCCTTCACCACCTTCCCTACCCATCACCACCTTCCCTACCCTTCACCACCTTCCCTACCCTTCACTACCTTCCCTACCCTTCACCACCTTCCCTACCCATCACCACCTTCCCTGCCCTTCACCACCTTCCCTATCCTTCACCAACTTCCCTACCCATCACCACCTTCCCTACCCATCACCACCTTCCCTACCCTTCACCACCGTCCCTACCCTTCACCACCTTCCCTACCCTTCAACACCTTCCCTACCCTTCACCACCTTCCCTACCCTTCACCACCTTCCCTACCCTTCACCACCTTCCCTGCCCTTCACCACCTTCCCTACCCTTCACCACCTTCCCTACCCTTCATCACCTTCCCTACCCATCACCACCATCCCTACCCTTCAACACCTTCCCTACCCTTCACCACCTTCCCTACCCTTC